TAATGCAGACAGAAATTTGAAATTTTGTACACAACCAAATCGACCAGTCTGAGTTCAACTAAACTATTTTCAAAATGGCTGAACGTTCGGAACTACAAGAAATTGGCGCCAACTTTGAAATTTGAAATGGTAACCACTTATTTTTATTGCATCTTAGAATTCTCCTCTTCAAACTGAGTAGAATGTACCTTTTTCTTAGTACTTATCTGTCATAGTTTTTGATATATGTCAATTTTTTAGGTAAAATTTTCATTTGCAGAGGTTCATTCAAAACATCACAGCTCTTGAACCCTTTGCGATAAGTGAATATTTTTTTTTGCATTCGATAAACAAAGGTTTAGAGTTTTTTAAAATTGTCAATTGTCAAATTGCAAGGCTAGTATGATTTTTTGAAATTGATGATTAACAAACAGCTATAACTCAGTTTTTTTCAAATGAAATGTCTCTATTTTCTCAACGGCAATCGAAAGTACATCAATTTGTAGAAGGACTTTATCCATCTCTTAACAGTTTTTGAAATAATCACGAAAACTTTTTTTTTTATTTTCTTTTTTATTTTTATGGATAATCACGTAAGCTTTGGAAAAACTATAAAGCTATGCCATAATTACGGAGAACTAGGAGACGAAACTGCATACAAAATTGCATCATTTTCTGGACCTAAATAAAATAGTACCACTGGTAGTACGGCGGAGTAAAAATGAGGGCGCTCAGAGCGTTTTACCGTCTCAGTTTCAAATCATTTTTAATTAATTTAAATTCAACCACTTGACTAATTGCTTGGAAAAAAATGCAAAACTGTTGAGATTTATATTCTTAATAAGCTGTGAACAACAATCGACTAAATTTTTCACGAGAAATATGAGAAAAAAATATTTAAAATTTAAAATCTGTGCTCCGCTTCATGTTTTTCAAAATGTTGCGAATACGGTTAAAGATACAAAAAAAAATGTAAGAAAGGAAGTTGTAGAAAATAAAATCTTCTAGTAAAAAGTCCGCGACACCATACCTCTTTAATGGTTTAGGCCTCAAAGACGTTCAAAACCGTTCAAGCGACGGATTCGTTGCATTTTTACTGGTGATTCAGTGCCAGAGGAACATTTTAAAGCAATTCAAACCTAAATCGTTAAAAATAGACATACAGTGTCGCTGACTTTTTTCTAGCAAATTTTATTCTCTACAATTTTGTTTCTTACACTTTATTTGTACCTTTAACCATATTCGCAGCGTTCTTAAAAATATTGGGCGAAACGCATCATTCATTTTTAATACTGTTTTCGATATTTTTGAGAACGCTGCGAATACGGTTAAAGATACAAAAAAAGTGTAAGGAACAGAGTTGTAGAGAATTAAATTTCATACAAAAACGACACCAAATCTCTATCTTCAACCGTTTACGTTTAAATTAATTTTCTGTATCTTGACCACCGGTAAAAATGACCCGATTTCGTCGCTTGAGCGTCTTTGAACGCCTTTCGGACCTAAACCATTGAAGATAGAGGCATCATCTCGGACTTTTTTTTGGAAATTTTATTCTCTACAACTTTCTTTTTTATATTTTTCTTGTATCTGTAACCGTATTCGCAGCATTTTCAAAAATATGAGACGAGGCGCAAATTGCTAAATGTTAAATGAATTTTTTTTAAATATAGTTAAATTTTTGCATTGCCTTTATCTCTTATTATTAACAATTGAATGCTCTGTCTGTCTATATATTTTTTATTTGCGTTTTGCTCACCGTTATGTAAATACAGCTATTTTTTTATTTCATCGCTCTTAAAACTTAAACGGGAAAGGAACAAGGAACAACCGCACTATATTCCGCTAACGGAACTATGGAGAACGGGGACTTTTTGTTTTACATCGTATCCTAGTATTTAGGTATCCGTAGCCATAATTAATCTAGATGTTCAATATGTTCACCACTTTCAAACAGTCCAAAACTCGATTGTGAACTGACTGAGTTGCTTCCATTAAGTATTTCATTTGGTTAAAGATTATTAAATACCTCCTCAATCCTTTGTCTCATTTCTTCGTAATTTTGTTCATCTAACCTCCCTGGTGGTTTCTCGCTTATATCTGGAAAACGATGCGTGTTACGAAGAAAATAGTACAAAAGTAAAGGTTATCTTAAATAGATACCCGCTAGCAAATATTGCAAATTGCCTTTAAAAAAGAGCGATAATCTGGTCTCACTTTGCATCATGCTGCCTAAATCCCAAATTTACGGTAGAAGTGATTGTAAGGATGTGAGCATATGTTGATTGTAGATTGCAAATTGCATTGTAGGCCTCTCCAGTCTTTTTGTACTTGCCTTTAAAAGAAAGTGTGGTTATGTTTCATTTCTTGCTTGAAAATGTTCAGATTCGAAGAAAATTTTCACTTCCGTATTCTTGTCGCCAATTTATTTTGTGTTAGGAAGCAGACAGGATGAATAACAAACACACTAACATTCTTATTTCTATTTTAAGGTTTATGCGCAAATTATCGGGTACAATAAAGACGCAGAGCGCATAAAGAACACACATAACATTTTCATAAAAAAATGGAATTATCTTAATGACTTAATGAATGAATGCAAACTTGAATTAACAATTTGGCTACATTTTGAATTAATCTAAAGTCTAAAGTAATTGGCTTTATACATTATTTGAATGGCCGACCTCAAACGGACCAATCACATCATTGCCTTAAATAATGAATGAATACAAAAATCGAAAGTGATTGGTTTTTTTACATTATTATAATGGCCGACCTTAAACTGCCCAATCACAATGCTTACAATTTTTACAAGAATCTTTACGTTGATTCATTTATAATTTTTTTTTAGGGAATGCAATATTTGCTAGTGAATATCTTGAAAACTATTTGATCTACGAAAAACCCGAGAGAAATATTTCCTAGACAGTTTTATAAGCTTTTCCTAATCTGGTACATATATTTTTTTTTAAACTGGCCTCATTTGGTAGATATACTTATGCGAAAAAGCATAAGACAGCACCTTCTTGGTTCCCCCTAGGCCCCACTCACCAGGTAGGAGCGGTGAGTCGGGAACTTTTAGTAGATTTACCTCCTAACTTACTCAAAAATATTGTTCTCGGCCATGCATACTACAACTTGTTCGTTGACTGGACTAAAAAATTAATTACCTATTTTACACAAAACCGAGTTTTGAATTTTTTCCCGCGTAGGTGTTAATCTAAATCGATAATTAGGAAAAATGTTGTTATCTCAGGTATTTTTTCATGTAACAATAGTGATAACAAAACAGAGCAAATGCTCGAATCTGGTGAGTAAACTCGCAACATCCACAGCCTCAATTCAGGAATTTTTCAACCAATTTACCGTGAATTTTCTGTGTTCAGAACCCACCGTAGATCTCACGACATGTCCGATAACGCCGGGAAAAGACGTCGCTATCGAAATCTCAACGGACAACAAAGGCTTGGGCGTATTCTTCGTAGGCGGCAAAGACACCGCGATGCCGGTAAGTCCTTTGGGAACCCCCGAGCTCTTCAAATCATGCGGCGTCTTTCTAGAACGGAATCGTGATTGTGGAAGTGTATCCTGGCGGAGCGACCGACAGGGATAACCGCCTCCAAGCCGGCGATCAGATCCTGGAGGTCAACGGGACCCAACTGAAGGACGTAACACACACCACCGCCGCTCAGGCGCTGAGACAAACACTGCCAAAGGTGAAGCTTGCCTTCTGGGAAAATGAAGGAATTTTCATGGCCTTTTTTTTCAGATGAAGTTGGTCGTGTATCGGCCGGAAAGGCTTGACTTCACTAAGCTGGACGTGGAGCTGACCAAAAAACCCGGCAAGGGCATGGGGCTGAGCGTCATCGCCCGGAAATCCGGGAAGGGGGTCTACATCGGCGACATTGTAAGTATGCGTGAGAGGCGACCCGCCTTGGATTAATTCGAGGCGAGTTTAGATAAATGGAGGAACCGCCGACGTGGACGGGAGGATAATGAAAGGGGACCTATTAGTGTCTGTGAACGGGCATAGTGTCGAAAATTCGTCACGTGATGAAGCCGGGGCCATTCTTAAGACTGTCACGGGCAGAGTTTCACTCAAATTACACAGATATAAACCAGTCGCGAGATAATTCCACAGACTGTTTATAGTGTGCTAAGCCAAATTTTTCAAATTGATATTATTTCCATCGAGAGGTGACCTTTGCCAAAAATTAGATTGTGTTTTGCATTTAACGGTTTATTGTCGCATTTAATTCGATGATATCTGTGTATTATTAACATTCATCTAGTCACTTAAGTTATTCGGTACTTAATTTATTATTTAAGTATATCTATTTTGTAAAAATAGTATACCTGCTTCGATTGTGATAAAAACTAAAAATTTAGAAAAATAAATTATATTTAACTAAGTCATTTATGGAAGATTTTTAGGGTAATATGTCAAGTTCCAATGTATTTTTCAATAATTTTTTGTTATCGATAAAAATCGTAGGATCAAGTATTTCATTAAAATCGAGTAAAAAAAGTAATATTTATATAGATGATTACAATAAAGAGATGTGCATGTATTTATCAGTTTAGAACGCATTACTATTTTTTAGGTATATTCATTAGTTCGTTATATAAATTTTAAAAGAAATTAAATAATGTATTGAACCGACTGTAATAATTTGTAAATATTGTACTGTCTTGAAAAAGTTCACTACTTGTACTAAATCTAGAACTATTTTGTAAATAGGGTTATGCAATGGTGCATGCTGGAATTTTAATAAAATTCACTTTATCTCTTCCTAAATCTTTCCTTTATTCCCTAAAACTTCCAGAACTCGTCAGAAACAAAAAGAAAATTGCAAACCTGAATACTTGTTTCAAATGCCAAGAAAGCAAAGCCGCCCTTATCTTCATTTGGGGGCTTTCCATAAAATCAAAAAAAAAAAAAATACTCGAGAGAGGAAAACCAGTTTGATAACCAGGAATTTTAATTTTGAATTTATAAAAAAGTATAGTTAATTGAAAAATGTGTTAAAAAATTTACTATCTATTACAAAAAAATACAATATAACATCATAAATCGGTCCAGTACACCGTTCAACTTGCAAATTTTCAAAATGTGTTAATTTTCTCCTTCGTTGTCCCCTTCTTCTTCCTCGTCGAATTCTCCTTCTTCTTCGGCGGTGGCGTCTTGGTACTGTTGATACTCAGCGACTAAATCGTTCATGTTACTTTCAGCTTCCGTAAATTCCATTTCGTCCATGCCTTCACCGGTGTACCAATGCAAAAATGCCTTTCTTCTAAACATTGCGGTGAACTGTTCCGAAATCCTCTTAAACAATTCTTGAATACATGTAGAATTTCCAATAAAAGTCGATGACATTTTTAAGCCGCGAGGGGGAATGTCACACACAGCGGTCTTGACGTTGTTGGGGATCCACTCGACAAAGTAGCTGCTGTTCTTGTTTTGGATATTGAGCATTTGCTCATCCACCTCCTTCATGGACATTCTTCCTCTGAAGATAGCGGCCACGGTTAAGTAGCGGCCATGTCTGGGGTCGCAAGCTGCCATCATGTTCTTGGCATCGAACATCTGCATGACCAACTCGGGGACAGTTAAAGCTCGATATTGCTGGCTGCCTCGGGATGTTAAGGGGGCAAAGCCCGGCATGAAGAAGTGGAGTCGAGGGAATGGCACCATATTCACGGCCAATTTCCTCAAATCTGAGTTCAACTGTCCCGGAAAGCGGAGACAAGTGGTGACCCCAGACATGGTTGCCGACACGAGGTGGTTTAAATCCCCATAGGTGGGGGTGGTGAGTTTGAGAGTTCTGAAGCAGATGTCGTAAAGAGCTTCATTGTCGATGCAATATGTCTCGTCTGTGTTCTCTACGAGCTGATGCACGGAGAGGGTGGCATTGTAGGGTTCCACGACAGTGTCGGAGACTTTAGGGGACGGCACTACGGAGAAGGTGTTCATAATTCGATCAGGGTACTCCTCCCTGATTTTCGAAATGAGAAGAGTGCCGAGTCCAGAGCCGGTGCCCCCTCCGAGAGAGTGCGTCAGCTGGAATCCCTGCATACAGTCGCACCCTTCGGCCTCCTTGCGCACCACGTCCAGAACTGAGTCCACTAGCTCGGCCCCTTCGGTGTAGTGTCCCTTGGCCCAATTATTTCCAGCTCCAGATTGGCCAAAAACGAAGTTATCCGGACGGAAAATCTGGCCGAAAGGGCCAGACCGGACCGAGTCCATGGTGCCGGGCTCCAGGTCTACGAGGATAGCGCGAGGGACATACTTCCCCCCAGTCGCTTCATTGTAGTAGACGTTGATTCGCTCCAGCTGGAGGTCCGAATCCCCGTGATATGTTCCCGTAGGGTCGATTCCATGTTCATCTGAGATCACTTCCCAAAACTGGAAACAAATAATACTTACTGCTCGAGTGGATTTTTTGCGAGTTTACCTTTGCTCCTATCTGATTGCCGCATTGACCTGCTTGTATGTGGACTATTTCTCGCATTTTACTTTAACGTTAAACAAATTTATTAAAGAAATACCGAAAATTGGAGTAAACAAATTCGTAACCATGTAGCAGATGTTGTTTCAAAACTGCCGCCTCATCAAATTTTAAATTTGCATGAATGATAAAGAAGGGCACTATTCTACCGATAAACACACGTTACAAAAATAAACCTTCAATTTGCATTTTAAACTTACACTTGTACATATTTTGGACAGAAAAACTCAAACACTGTAAAGCACCTATTTTCATTTTCGAAAAGTTCTGAAAATTTCTTAAATTCCTAATATTTGTTACACATTTTAAATTCGTGAAGTGGCGCCCTCTGCCCCCGCAAATGTTTCTAACCTAAAAAATGTTTTGAATCCATGCATCGGTTTTTCATAAATTATGGCCGGTGCAAAAATTATTTCATGTATATTTTACACGCTCCTTTTTATAGCAAGTGCCTTTTCGTCAAAATTGAGTGTGCCGAGAGTCCTACTTCCCATTTTCAATGACTTTTCTATTAAATTTTTGCTAGAAGCCAACGACGGCGGTTGTTACAAATGGTGAGTTTTGAAGTGTTTTCGTTTTTGGTTTCAATTTCCAGGTTTTCAGGAGCACGACCCGAAATGATATCATCAAATTGACAATCCTTGATGAAAATCTTGACTTACATTGCTCCACAAAGGCGGAAGTTCAAACTGTGACCAAAGAGCCGGTCAGGAATCTCGCAGTGGTTCTTGCCGAGGATATTCAAACCGACCAAATATTAAAATGTGATGTTGTGGTTGATGCGATTACCTCGTTATCAATTACGACAACGACAAGGGAACTTTTTATGGAAGAAGTTCCTGAGGCGTTTCAAGTAAATGCTTATGACGCACAAGGCAACGAGTTTTCCTCTCTGGAAGGGGTGGAATTTGACTGGAAGATCATCACACTCGGCAGCAAGAAGGAAGCAGTGGTTGTGAGATACCTCCCGTTTAAGGACTCTCCCTATGAGTCACTACCTCATATTCGAAAACTTGAAGATGACAATAAAAAAGGCGCAGTTATTTTACTTGAAGGCGTTAAAACGGGCTCAGCTAAAGTAAATTATTTAGTAATAACTTAAACTTTAAATGATGTTTGTAAAGGTTTCAGTACGTCTCCCTTATTCGGAATATAAAGAAGTTCCAAGTGTTGAAGTCGTTTTGACCGTCATTGCCAACCTATTACTAGTTCCAAGTGAGGCTTATATGATGGAGGGCGATGTGATCTCATTTAAATTATTCTATGCAAGTATTTTATTTTAGCAGAAGCAATATAAAACTAACTGAAATTTAATAGTTGCATAATGGTAAAATGGATGAGTTACAAATACCAGACGCCCAATATTTCCTTGAATCCGAAGATGAAAGTGTTGTTAAAAGTGATAAAACTTCAAGGGAAGTTACTGCCAAGGGGTTGGGCAAATGTCATGTAGTCTTACGCAGTTCTAATAGGCTGGATGATGACCCGGCCTTAAAGCTTCCAATGGCTGTGATAACAGTAGTACAACCAAGTTATATTGTTTTGACCATTTTACCTCACAAAAATTGGGCGATTTTGGTTGGGGATCAACATGAGATTATTGCTGAGGTGTACAGCAGGTAAAGTAACAACAGTTTATGAATTATAATGAAAAACAAAATAATTACTAGTGGATGAATCCGCTATTTAAATACAATTTAATTATTATGATGTAACAATACGGGTAATGTTTTTTCAGACCCAGTAAAAAAAATGTTTTGACTAGTTATGTATTATTTATAACTTAAAATGGAATACAAAATTCGTTAATTTTTTAGCTCGGATAACAAACTCTATCTTGGTTCGGGTGTCCAAATCCAAACCCAAGTGGGTGAAGCTTTCCACGTGGAAGAGCGTTCGCAAAACGGCAGCTGGATTTGTGGATGGGGCCTCAAAGAAAGCCGAGCCATAGTTTCGGCTAAATTAGAATCGGTGATTCATCCCAAATTTGGTAAATTTACATTGGATACACCCATAATATCCCAAGGCGAGCTCTACATCTACCCCCGAATAACAATATCGCCCGCTGAGGTAGTTTTACCATGGGACACCCAAATAAAGCCCAAGTATGTCGTAATCACACTTGCTATAATTTTAGTTTTTTTTATTAATGTATTTTGCATAGATATGATGTTGACTTGGTGGCTAAAGGGGGCGACGGCCGCTTTTTATGGTCAAGCACTGACCACTCCATTGGTATAGTTTCTCAAACGGGCCACGTGCGTACCCTCACCCAAGGCTATTTCTCCGTATCGGCCGCCATGACTCGCAACCACCACAACCGCCAATATGCCAAATTCTCAATCCTTCCACCAGTTCGTCTTGAAATCGTCGAATTTATAATGGAGGCCGAAATTTTCCAACCAATTTACCTCCACATTGCCCTCTATGCCCCCAAAATCGGCAATGATAACACCACACAAACCTTTATTCCGTTCACGCAGTGTCAAGATCTCCCGTTCCAAGTAAAACAATCCGATAATAAATTTATCTACAACAAAACGGCATCGATACCCCCTGTGGGTATTTCCTGTGGGAACATAGCAATGATTGGTACCGCTGTTGGTACGAGTAAAGTCACAGTTACGTATTATCAGGATGGTTTAATTTTGGAAGATGCGGTCACGATAAACGCTTATTATCCCTTGAAGTTGATTTCGCCGAGTCCGAAACATCAGGTAGTTTTGGCAGTGGGCAGTTCGATACATTTGGTGTTTTCGGGGGGACCGAGGCCGCAGATCGGGAGGCAGAGTGATCATCAAAGAATTGTGATTGTGGAGAATGAGGCGATTGTGCAGGCAGAGGATGTGACCGATTCCAATCAGTTACCATTGGAGGATATTACGGCCGTTTGGGTCTTATGTAGGAAATTGGGTGAGACCAATGTCAAGCTGACGATCAGCAATACGCCGTCGTTGCCGAATTGTAAGAGTCATGGGAGTACGGTAACGACGAAGGTAAGCTGGATAAGATGTTTAGACTTTTTACTATTTTTTTAAGTATTTTTAAAATAAAAAAAAATAACTTATTAAAACTCGTTCGACCAATTTTCTGATTTTGTGAGTCGTATGGCAGCAAACAATATACAGGGTGTTCCGTTTTTATTGTTTCAAATTTAGCCAGGTGATAGAATATTTAATTTTAAGATAAAAGTTTCCTATAAACATGTATCGAAAAAGTTGATATAAGGGAGCTACATCCCCTGAAAGGGGTGCATCTTTTAATGGATTTCTTCCAATATTTCAGAAACCATTGTAGATAAAATTACAAAATTTGGTACAACTAATAACCTTCATACACCTAAACGAATTCAAATATACAGAGTGCGCCAGAACTCGCGCCCCAGAGAAAAATGCCATATAAGGTAAGATACTAGGAACATGGAAAAAATTTTATCTATAAAAATTTCGAAGTTTTAAAGTTTGCACTTTGACTCTATTTATTTCTGTTGGAAAAATAATTTTACAAGTTTTTGCTATAGGAAAGAAAGAGGAAACAATGAAGCTGTGTCTTAAATTGTAACTTTGTTCAATGTTATTTCATTGTACCTTTACTAAATAATTGGTAAAAAAATATATATAAGATCATCAGTATCATTAAATAGACATAAAAAAATGTCAAATGTCAAAAAATAAATGTCAAAATTTTTTGACAGAATTTTGTAAACATTTTTTTCATGTTCCTGGTATCTTATCTTACTTGAAAATTTTCTCTGGGGCGCGAGTTCTGGCGCACTCTGTATAATGTCAAAATTTTTACTTATGGGCGTGTTAAACTGGGGGGTGGTGGTGGGTTATGTTAGGGTAAAAAGTACTCTAACTACATATTTTGTCTGTTGGTCCTTGCCACTTTCAGCCACATAATTTTAAATTTCACAAAAAATTGGTCTCTTGCGTTTTATAATTAGTTTACACTTTGTCTTACAGACCATAAAGACGATAGATATTAAAGATTAAATTTGTTTTACCGTTTAAGACGCCCGTGTTTAAAAATTTCGACAACTGATCTTTGAATTCGTTTAGGTGTTTAAAAGTTATCAGCCGTACCAACTTTTGTAATTTTATCTATTCTACAATAGTGGGAAAACCCCATTAAAAAACGCATCTCTTTTACGGGGTGTAGCTCGTTTACGAAACATTTTCGGATACATCTATCTATCTATCACCTGTTTAAATTTATAACAATAAAAACGGAACACCCTGTATATTTGCGTTGACAACTCGCAAGTTTTTTGTCTTAATAAAACGAGAAATGCAAACTCCTGAATTGTTTATTATTATTGTTTATTTTTAGATAATTTGCGGTAAACCTCGGCGTCTCCACATCCAACCCGAAGTCAAAGTAACCGACGCCAAGGCATGCCCCATGGACCTCAGTGCCGATCGCGTCGTAGTCCCCAACAACCAGGACATCGAACTCGAAGTTGTCGTCATCGATGAACTCGGCCGTGTCTTCCTAAACACCAGCAGTCTTCTCTTCACATGGGAATCCCGCCCGGCTGGCGAAGTTAAATTTCAAAGTATCGACAGCACAGTCACTAAACACGAAATGTTTGGCTCCGTCCCACTGATCAACAAAACGCTTCAAGTTATCCACCCTTACATCGATTCTGGGTTGTTGGAAGTGACTGGAACTGTCAAAGGTTACAAGATGAGTGTCTTAAAAGCGTATCACATCACACCTGAATGGCCGGAGTTTTTGAGTGGGGAGGAACGATCATCTGATCATCCGGCTATAACAGCGACTGTGGGACTGTTTTTGGTTGATGATACAGTTGTTACACCTAACGTGACGATTATTTTTAACCAGCCGAATGTCAAGAAGGAAATAGCAGTGATGCACGGATCGGGCTATATCGAATTGTCGTTAAGTAATGATGAAATCGCGACGGTGAATTATGTCGAAGGGACAAGACTTATCGAAATTGTCCCAGTGATGTCAGGAGAATTGACAATACAAGTGGTGGACTTGTGTCTCGTCGCAAATCCGATTTTTATCTACGTTAAAGTGGTCTCGTTGGGAAAAATCGAAGTCGATACTGCCGGAAAAGTTGAGATAAATCATTGTATCCAAGTCGTGGCGAAACTCTACGACGAAACTGATCAATTATTAGATGTGCATGACATGGGAGTGATCGAATTGAGACATCGATTCAGTAAAAATATAGCGAATTTGGGACGTATGCCCCAAAACGCCGACGATCCCTGGCCTTTGGGAGAGGTTCATTTTGTTTTAACCGGTACTTGTTCCTATTTTCCCGTTACAATTTTTTTAATTCATTTTTTTAGGAGTTGAACTCGGCGATGCCCAGCTGACTTTTACTTTCGACAATAAAGACCAAGTCGTTTCGAGCGAACCGGTTGATATTCAGGTCTTTCCACCACTGAAGGTGAATCCCCGAAATGGCACGCTTTTGGTGGGTGCTACCATGCAGTTGACACTCCGTGGCGGTCCACAACCCGACACCAGTATCGAGTTTGAACCCCACTCGAACGGAACCATTTGTAAATTTTGATTGTTTTGTCTAGGAATTGATTTTGTAACGACTGTTTTCAGCTGTTAGTGATGTTGGTATCGTTGTTGGAAAAAACCTAGGATTTACGAGAATCACGGTTCGGTCGATCGGAGTACATCCGAAAACCGGCGAGAAAATCATTTATGCTGAAGATACCATCGATGTGAACATTGTTAAAATCGGTGGAGTGAAGATAGCAGCGCCCTTGACGAAGTTTAAGAGTGGGGGAACGATTCCAGTTTGGGTTACTGGAATTCCGGAAACAATATCGCCTTTGATTTTGTCAAGTTTTGAAGATTCGGCTTTGACGTACGATTGGTATTTTAACGATTTTGATGTGACGACGCTTGTTGGAGTTTTCTCAACTGTGGGTGAGTATTAACATAAAAATAAAATAAAATTTACAATCACAACATGGAAGTCCAGCTCAAAGAAAATTGAATGTACAAACACCAACATTCTGAAACTCTAAAAACTTAGCTTTGCGCACTTAATATAAGTTTTTTTATTTAACACATGCTGCTTTCTACTAATAATGAAAAAAATCATTTGTATAATTTCTCTCAGGTGTGATTTACAAAACTTGCGACAAAACAATAATAAGGGTGACAGGTTTGCAACCTGGCAAAACTAAACTTTACGTAAACGTAACTTTCAACGCAGTCGATACAGCTCAACCTACAGTGTATCAGGCATACGTAGATTTGGAAGTTTTTGAACCTTTGATGCTTGTAATGCCTAAACATATGCCTGGGAGGTCACTTTTAATGGCACGCCACTCAAACATACAATTGCAAACGAATTTGGACGGAATTGTTAACATTGAGTATAGGTAATGTGAATTGTGTAGAGCCGAAGACTCTTTTAATTTTTTATTTTCATTAGCATTCCTGAATTTCGCTTAACCGGTACCGAAGTAACAGCAATGAATGCGACTCCAGTTGCGACAATAACAGTGACAGAAACTGGTTATTTGCAGTCTTACGGGACTATTGGATTTGCCCAATTGTTAATAACTTCAACCGACGAACTGGGGTTGAAGCAAACTTTGACCTATGTTGTTGAAGTCAAACCAGTGCATTATATGTTATTGACGGTCAAAGCAAACTGGAGGATACATTTGGACAGTTCTTTGCAAGTGATACCATTAGGAACTGAATTTGATTTGGTTGCACATTTTTACGACAATATCGGGAATAAATTTAATGCCGGGCCACGACAGGTGAAAGTTCGAGCTAATCGATTGGATCTTGTCAAAATCAAACAATACACAAGCAATGCCACTATGACCGTAGCGACGAAAAAACAGGGTCATACGGTTATTAAAGCTTGGACCGATGGTGTTGACAATACGGCTGATTATGTCAAAATTCATTCGAAAGAAGTGGTCAAACCTGTTGTTGACTTTTTGGCAAGTGGCGATATTATGTGTTTGTGGAGTCCAGTCGTGACGAGACATCTACAAATAGGTTTTTGGTCCAGTAGTGATACTAGTATGATATCAATTGATTCAACCATCGATTTGGCTTTTGTTATTGGAAATAAGGAAGGAACCGTGTTGCTTACTCACTCGTTGCAATCTAACGTTCCGCTGCGGATGCAAGTCCTACCGGTTGCTGAAGTTAAATTATATCCAGAGAAGATCACATTTTTCACAAATGGAGCCGAGGGAACGGTCCAGAGAATTGGTGTGGTTTTGAAAAGTCGGATGGGACCGGCCGACAAGAGAAATAATTTGATTCAAGGATGGCTCTGTGATAGATCTTTTCACCGGTATTTAGTTCCAACACCGTTCAGATGTTTCGTCCGATTCACCAATGAGAGTGTAGACATTGATGCGAATAGTATCTTCAGCATGAAGAGTAGTTTTAAACCGGAAATAGGTCAATATAATTGTAAAATCGTCGCGACGGGAGCTAACACGTCTGATGTGAGTCTCTTAATGACGAATATCTCGTTTTGGGTTATTTCCGATGAAGGGGAAATTGAATCGCAACCTTTAGAATTGCCATTTATTCCCACACCTTACGTACCATCGGAAGTGTATATAGGAGATCAAGGAAATATCGGTGAGCTTATTGTTACTGGTCTAGGCTACATTTTGGATCAAATTATGGTAAGTATTGTGACTGGAAGGAAGTGTCGCAGTTACGAATTGTGTCTTTAGGTACAACCAGCCGATAGTAGTATTGTTTACGTGGACAAAGGTCACTTAATTGATGAAAATCATAAAATGTATCAAGTGCAACTTGTCGATTATCATCCGAAGTTTGCCGATCAAGAAGACATTATGGGAATTATTGTTCGGTCACCGCTTACGGATCAAGCGACTCAAGTAATTTTACTCTTAATGATTTCTTCTTGTACATGTGATTTTACAGGTTATGGTACGAGTTTCAAATAAATATCGCGATGACACCTGTGCGGGTAAATCCCCAATTTACCGGTTTATACAACACTACAAACACGCGATTATTATCGTAATATCGATGCTCATTATTTTCTGTGTTACTTGTTACGGTAAATTGTTTCTTTTTTCAGTATTTTTCTCTTAATTTTATTTGTTGTAGTCTACTCGAGATACATGCAACCCATGGTTACTGTCACAGTTAACCCAAACCGATCTCTTCTCAATGGTATTTGTACTGTTTTTAAAATAGCCATATAATAAACTTTTTTTAGCTACTTATCCGCCACCGAATTACCCGACAAGTTCAACCCCTATGATGAACAGAACTCAACCCTCAATTCCGAGGTTATCTCCAACTTCACCAATTTGTACAAGCAAGTCGAATTGTACCTGTGGTAGAAATCGAGAACCAGTCTATGGTGACGTTAGTTCGTTTACAATGAATAGTCCTGAATTACGAAGAAACCGAAGATTTTTGTAACTGTGTTCAAATTTTGTTTAGTTTTTGTACATAACAGGGAGTGCCAGTTTTTTTTTTGTATATACAAGTGTACTTATTTTTTTATAAAATAAATTCATTTCTTGCTCAAGTGCGTAATCGATTTTTTATTGTACTAATTACTTGTAAAGTGATTGTATTGAAGGCGTACCTACAAGTACATATATTTGAGAAAACGTGGTTATTATTTCGAAACTTTATTAAAAATCAGTCCTCTAACAAAAACATCTTATACAGCTTTTCATGCTCAGCCTTCTCAAATTTCGGAATAAACGGAATTTTAACAATTTCCGAAAATCCTTCCGCCATTTCCGGTTCCTGAAAAGCCTTCTTATACGAATTAAGATTCAAATCCCCTACTGGAAGTTGACTCTTGTCAGTTATATTTCTAAACCTAATATTGTGTTTGACGTGGTTATGACTCGTTGTCATAATAAAACATCTGCAATCGACTTGTTTTCTTTTCGCCACATCTATAAACTTTTGTCTTGACTCCTTATCAGGATTTGTGTTATCAATCACCACACTTTGCTTCTTTTGAAGACAATCTTCCAACATTTTGGTAAACTTTTTCCATGACCCCAGTTTATCCTGACTGACGTGGACGTACCCCTTCGGTACGAGAAAATTCTTACAAAAGTGGCTCTTCCCCGACCCAAGGGTCCCCACCATTATAATAACCTCCTGTTTACCGGTGGCGATTTGGGGGTAAGCATCGTTGGAAAGCCTCCTTGGGTCAAACTCGGGCATTATATGGGGCGCAGGTGGAAAACCAAGAAAGTACTCCTCAGGAGTATAGAACTTTAGCCCCACATTTAAGGCGAAAAGTCGGTCGCAAATCGAGGGGTCTTTGTTTTTCTTCGGGGCCCAGTTATTTTCGCGACCGGCTTCGTCTCCTACATAGAAAGACTTTTCGATGTCGATTGCCACGCCCCCATTTTTCGACTCGATGAAAACGTTCCACATGCCGGGGGCTGGTTTGCGGTAAATAGATTTTCCAGTCGCAATAAAAACTTGCACAGGCACTGATAATTTCGTAATTATAGCTTCAATTTTCTTCTTAAAGCCTTTGACTTTACTAAAATCGTTACTCAGGTCAGACTGGTTGGCAAAAATGACGACTTTGTGGCCTTTGTCGTAAAGTTTTTGCAGTTTTTGAGGAACTGAATTGATGTGCGAGATCCAGTCGTCAGGGTCTTTCGGGAATCGCGCCCCCGATTTGGTTTTAATGAGAGTACCGTCAAGATCGAACGCCGCAATTGCCGATTGGGGTTCGCAGTTATCTGTTGTAAAAATAAGCAAATCTCGACCGTCTAACTCTTCCCATTTGCCCGAATTTGAGAGTTTCTTATTCGAGTTGGAATTCATTGCGAAAGAATCTAATCTTCCCTTCTTAGTGGCAGGTTCATCTTCAGATTCAAAAATAATATCAAATTCGTGAAAACCGAGTCTGACTTCGATTCGATCGCCGTGTTTGAGGGTGTATGTTCGATTTTGTATTAGGGCATAACCGTTGCATCCGGAGTACGACTTACCGAGGGTTTTTAAAATAACTTTTGAAGTATCCAAATCTGCAGTACATTCGAGATGATTTCTAGATACGTGCAAGTCCGTGATTCCTGTTTCTTCGTTTCGGCCGATTCTTACAGGCTTTTGGTGAGGCAAATTGACCTTTTTTTGGGTGTTGACGCATCTTAAGTAACAAATTTGCGAAGAAAGGGCCATGGTATTTTAGACATTAGGTAAATTCGAAGTTATTTAGGCAATACCTACATAAATTGCTATTACTTTTTAACACAATTGTAATATAGTGGTCAATTAATTTACCTTGCTCAAGCACTATTTGGTTATAAGAAGTCGAGATAATGTATTTTTCAATTCAAAAACCTTATAAATTAACTTTTACCTATAATTATATGAATTCTAAAAGCGTTCCTGGTTCCTGCCAGGTTCCTAGGTTCTTTTAATTTTATTTGAACTACTATTCGCACGTGTAGAACTACTACCAGAGGCGTACGAACAAAAGTAATTTGCTGGCGTGGCAAATTTAAAAAAGTTAAATGGTTTATTTGGCTATTTACGCAGTGTACAGTGTAAGTTAAAAAAAAGTAAATAACCTCTAGTCTGTGGTACAAGTGTACCGAATTATTTTTACAAAGTAAAGTAATTTCTTGGCCAAGTGCATGATCGAGTTTTTATCATAAAAAGTTGGAGAAGTGGTTGCATTTTGCATTGAGAAAAAAAAAGAAAGTTATAATAACTTGGGAAAATATTAAATATGAATAACCAAATTGTTTTGATCAAATGTCGCTGGTAGTTCTTTTATCTCTTTTCAAATTTATTTACATCTTAAATTAATTACTTTTAATGTAATAAAAAAAATGTTGATTCATATGTACCTTTATAATAAATATGAGACTCTATTGGAGTTTTTCCTTTGCAAAAATTCAGGTTCTGTCACTATCTCTCTCTAATGGACACCAAACAGGTGTCGGGATGTCCGATCATGCAATATTAATAAACAGCTAATTGTTGTAAAAACTGTGATAAATGTGCTAGTAACTATTTTGTAACAATTTAGATAAAAACACGTGCCCTTTTTTGTTGTGTAGGTTATTAACAATGACATTTCAGTCGTATTTACAAGCAATTCAAGGTTACGTGGGTAAGTGATAACCTGCTGATAATTGAATTTATTATTATTAATTGTATCATTCAATTAATTGAAAACAAACAGTTTATATTTTTTATTTTATGTTTTTGTAAATGCACTGATCTCTAAGAAAAAGCGGGAATTTCGATAGTGCAACATTTGACCTAATTTCTTTCCAGTTGAATACATTGACATCGATTATTCTTTATGGCTGACATGGTGTTTAGCCCCCTTGTTCATATCGTTTCTGCTTCCAATGGTGATAGGTCTTTTGCTATATCTCACCGCCTTTATATTATACATTTACAAGCTCCACTGGAGGAGCATTCGGATGACTTTACAAACGGGAGACAAATGGGAGACTGCTCGGAGGACCGCGGCCGCAGTCTGGGACGCCCATGGATGGATCTGGCACGGTATAGTTCCCTTACACCTCCTATCCAACAATTGATTTAATTGTCTTCAAGGATATGAAATCCAAGGCCTTGAAAACATCCCTGACAGCGGCCCCGCACTCATAATTTATTACCATGGGGCCATCCCGATCGACATTTATTATTTCCTTGCAAAGACCCTTTTCTACAAAAACAGATTAGTCCACACTGTTGCCGACTATTTTCTTTTCAGAATTCCAGGTCAGGCTAAAATAACAACTGAAAAAATCAAAATAAATCAAAAAATAGGTTTCAGTATTATCGCGGACTGCATGAAAGTCATTCCGGGTACAATCCAGACTTGCTCCAACCTCCTTAAAGAGGGCAACGTCCTTGCGATTTCCCCTGGGGGCGTCTACGAAGCCCAATTCAGCCACCACTACAACCTAATGTGGAAACGCCGTCTAGGCTTTGCTAAAGTAGCCCTCGATGCCCAAGTTGTGAGTGCCTTTTTATGGCCTTCTTTTTTGATTTTTTTTAGCCGATTATTCCTATGTTTACAGAAAATCTTCGCGAGGCTTTTCGAACTTTGAGTATAGGTCGGAGGATTTTTTTACGGTTGTATGCAATTTTTAAATTTCCTTTTGCACCCATTTATGGAGGATTCCCCGTGAAAATGGTCAGTCATGTGGGGAAACCCATAGCCTACGACCCCAGTTTGACTCCTGAGGATTTGCAAGCCAAAGTCGCTGCCAGTTTGAATGAACTGATCAAGAGGCATCAGAGGGTACCGGGGAGTATACTCTACGGAATTATGGATCGAATACCGTATTTTAGGACAAAGAATTTACAGCATGAAGAGTAAATGGACATTCCTATAGCTTAATTTTTTATTGTTGAATTTGTACGTACTTAAATTTTTATGTACTTTTATGTCAATGGTGGATGTACAGTAATGAGGACGATAGTACAAAAATAAAGGTTTTTGTCAGGAATTTTCTATCACTCTTAAAATACTTTTTCACTAAAGATTTTTTACTTATTAAAAATGTCTATTTGTTCTTTACTTCTCTGTTTCAAGATACAAAATACTGTCAAGTAACGGACGTTAAGGCGTGTCTACGAGTACATACATGTACTTATGTATTTGAGAAAACTTTATTAAAAAGCAATTAGTCCTCTAACAAAAACATTTTATACAGCTTTTCGTGCTCAGCCTTCTCAAATTTCGGAATAAACGGAATTTTAACAATTTCCGAAAACCCTTCCGCCATTTCCGGTTCCTGAAAACTCTTCTTATACGAATTGAGAACCAAATCCCCCACTGGAGTATGACTCTTGTCTGTCATTTCTCTGAACCGATTATTGTGTTTGGCGTGTTTATGACTTGTTGTCATAATAAAACACCTGCAATCGACTTGTTTTCTTTTCGCCACATCTATAAACCTTTGTCTTGACTCCTTATCAGGATTTGTGTTATCAATCACCACACTTTGCTTCTTTTGAAGACAATCTTCCAACATTTTGGCACACTTTTGCCATGACCCCAGTTTATCCCGACTGACGTGAACGTACCCCTTCGATACGAGACAGTTCTTACAAAAGGAGGTCTTCCCCGACCCGGGGGTCCCCACCATTATAATAACCTCCTGTTTATCGGTGGCGATTTGGGGATAGACATCGTTGGAAAGCCTCCTTGGGTCAAACTCGGGCATTATATGGGGCGCAGATGAAGAACCGAGAAAATACTCCTCAGGAGTGTAGAACTTTAGCCCCACATTTAAGGCGAAAAGTCGGTCGCAAATCGAGTGGTCTTTGTTTTTTTTGGGGGCCCAGTTTTTTTCGCGACCAGCGGCGTCTCCCACATAGAAAGAATTTTCGATGTCTATTGCCACACCCCCATTTTTCGACTCGGTGAGAACGTTCCACATGCCGGGGGCTGGTTTTCGGTAAATTGACTTTCCAGTGGCGATAAAAACCTGGGTGGGCACTGATAATTTCGCAATGATTGCTTCTATTTTTCCCTTGAAGCCTTTGACTTTACTAAAATCTTTACCAAGGCCAGCCTGATTGGTAAAAATGACGATTTTGTGGCCTTTGTCGTAAAGTTTTTGCAGTTTTTGAGGGATTGAATTGATGTGCAAGATCCAGTCGTCATGGTCTTTCGGAAATCGCGCCCCCGATTTGGTTTTAATGAGAGTTCCGTCAAGATCGAATGCCGCAATTGCTGATTGGGGTTCGCAGTTATCTGTTGTAAAAATAAGTAAATCTCGACCATCTATCTCTTCCCATTTGCCCGAATTTAAAAAATTCTTATTCGAGTTGGAATTCATTGCGAAAATATCTAATCTTGGTTTCTTAGTGGCAGGTTCATCTTGAGATTCAAAAATAATATCAAATTCGTGAAAACCGAGTCTGACTTCGATTCGATCGCCATGTTTGAGGGTGTATGTCTGATTTTGAATTAGGGCATAACCGTTGCACCCAGAATACGACTTTCCGAGGGTTTTTATTAAGACTTTTGAAGTATCCAAATCTGCAGTACATTCGAGATGATTTCTAGATACATGCAAGTCCGTGATTCTTGTTTCTTCGTTTCGGCCGATTATTACAGGTGTTTGGTGAGGCAAATTGATCTTTTTTTGGGTGTTTTTGACGCATTTTAAGTAACAAATTCGCGAAGAAAGAGCCATATGGCATTTTAACTAAATTGGAGGTTATGTAGATGACCTAAATATTATCCTTTTGTTAACACAGTTGTAACGCAATAATCAAAGATTACCTTATTCAAGCACTAGAATCAAATTTGGTTTACAAAAAATGTCTTTCTAATTCAAAAAGCTTTATTGTATTGATTTTTTAAACCGTTCATTTGAACTACTAACCGCACGAGTAGAACTACTACCAAACTTCCATAAATCGAATAATTCATCGGCCTAGGAAATTTTGAAAGGCAAAATTGCTTATTCTCTGTTCATAAATTAAAGAAACACCCAACCGGCAATAAGGCTCAAAAATTCAACCGGCAACGTTGTCTAGTTATATTTTCTAGTGGGAACGTATGTGTCAAAAAAATTAGGTTATGTTTTCTTTTTTACAAAGTTTGTTGACCAACGGAACTCAGAGAAGTCTTATATGGATTTAATATCTTAGATGGTATTGGGCCACATACGTCGTTGCGGTTTTTGGTTTTTCAGGTTTTAAATTTGTAGCACGGAGAATTGAAAATTGGTTCAAAAGGACCACCGGCAGACACAGAAGCAACTTCTTCTCACCCCGACGGTTTCAGCAAAAGTTTCAATGTCCCATTTGCATTGTTGTTATGATGATAGCGTTATTTTATTTGTGATAAGTTGATGGTTCTGAAAAGAACCGATTTTTTTAAAACTTGAATGTGGAACAATGCAAAACTAAAAGAAATTCTCTTTATTGGATTCATCAT